TTCATATATCGTCAAAAATCGTAAGCCAAATTTCTGAATCTGCAACGATGGAAAAATAAACCATCACAGAGAAGTGTTAAACTAAAATTTGGACTTAAGGTCATGAACCCCCACTCAGGTAATTGCATCAAAACTGAAGGTACACAAATCATTGATAATTCCAATACAAGCCAATTTTCTACTCCACGTAAATTTCCTATACTATAGGAAGGTTAACCATCAGACCTGTTTCTCACATTTTGAAACTTTGTACATATACCCAAGAGAAAAATTAAATTGTGAGAAATTTCTAAAACATAAGGACCCTTGCCTGGTCAGCATGATCCTTATAGCTGACGAAGACTGATCTTGTTCCCCTTGAAGGGAATCCTGATACACATGAGACCTGAGGCCAAGCAAAATGCAGCCGTGAAATGTAGTGCTCTTCCTGTAACAGAGTAATACGTGGTATATTTAAAAACAGGTTAGATATATCATTTATCTCCATGTACAAACCCTCAAGCATCACACTCTGTAGACACATTTGTCACCGAACAGCTTAATGAAACAAGGAGAAACCTATAGAGCAAATCAAACTAGTTTCATTAACAAATACACAGTCGATTTATTGAATTAGTAGGTGATTGTCCAGAGATCACAATAACGCCACATCAGGAAAGTTAATTAGCATGATCCAGCTACAAGTTCAAACCTAGCAACAACATTTTTCCATTTGAAAATTTCACTATATTTCAAAATTTGAGAAGAACATAGTCTCATGAGGGAAATGCTTACAAGGATTTTGCAACCGAGAGAGACAACAAGGATCTGATCAGTAAGACTGGTGCCCTCAAGGGCGAGTAGTTTGAGAGAGGCGGTGGAGGAGGAGGTATCGGATGCGGTGGAGATCCATTTGCCGCCTCTCCGCGCCTTCCGTGTCGAGGCCGAGTGGGGAACCAGAGAAGGATGAGAGGCGTGAGGAGACGAAGGAAATAAAACGAAGCGAGCATACTGGACATCCCATCGGCCGTAGACAACGCTGGGCGCCGTCGATGACAGCGGCTGCTCCGTCGCTATCCCTTCCAATACACCCGCCATTTTTCGAATTTTTTACAATCCCGGATTCTACTTGAACGCAGCTGTACAAATTCAAACACTCCCCATAAGAACTAACTTGCTTAGTTGCTTAAATTATGTTCTAACTTCTAAGTTCTAACCTGTTGATTGTAGAGATATTACCCAAAATAGGACTAAAACAGTTTGAAAATTCCAAAATAGGACTTCCATGTTTTTATTCCCGAAATAGGACTAATTACTGTCATGTTTTGGCAGTACCAGACTTTAAACATGGCAGTATTTTTCAAGTTTGGCAGTAATTAGTCCTATTTTGGGAATAAAAACATGACAGTCCTATTTTGGAATTTTCAAACTTTTTAGTCCTATTTTGAGAACTTTCCCTTGATTGTATGCCACAAAATAGCATTAAGCGTATAATGGTGCCAATATATACGGAGTAGTAAGTAATTGCATAAGTAATTCAATACTTTTAGGATATGTTTAACACAAGTTTCTAACTTTTATGAGATTTTTAGTAACTATTTCCTCCGTTCCAGGATTATCTTCATACTTACTATTCACATGGTCAACTCAAATTACTCTTAATCTTTTACTTTATATATCAAGTTTTTATCAATTTTTTTTATCAGGCTTTGTAGCGGTTTTAATGTAGTTTATGAATATGTAAATTTTATTTACTAAAAATAATCCGAGTGTAAACAATGATCAAATTTCTTTATCGTCATTCAAGCATCGTAAACCGAACTATAAAGATAAATATGGGGTAGAGGGAGTATTAGTTTTTAGTGATTGAATCTTAAAAGAAAAGATAGTAGTTGTTTAATAAAAATCTGACTATTTGATTTAGTTCTGTTTGTTATACAAGCTAGTGAGACCAATTATTGTTAAAAGCTACATAATTTTCTCATATGTTACTCAATGTAGCGTATAAAAAAAAATTATTTTTAAAAAGACTCTTAAAAATCGGCATGTCATACATACAACTAGATGGTTTTAAAAAATTTCAAAATAGTACAAAAGTTAGAAATTGCCCCGCCATCGTGCCAATACACCAATGCGGCAAAAATAGAATTATTAAATAAATTAATATTGATTAATATTGATTCAAATCCAATAGCTCTTTAGCCTAATTTTAACAGAGTACATTTCATTGGTTCAGTCGATCGATTTTATATGAGAATTCATATTTGATTACGATTAAAATTAAATATTCACATATAATACACATATAAAAATAATGATTTTTTTGTTTTTTTAATTTGGAGGCCCCTAAAATTTGTGAGTCTAGACAATTGTCTAAGTAAAATGCCTCCGAGAAGAAAAAATCGTCTCAATATTATCTTCTAATTTGACTTCACCCGTGGATTAAGAAAATGAAGTTGTGCTTGAAAGTTGTCTAGAAGGGGAAAACAAATTTGGGATAGCGTATATTCTCATAAATTTCTAATTTTCCGAGAAAAGTATTGAAAGTTTGATTTGTATAACTAGAATGTGACTATAAAAGTATATTGAATCACTTTAATGACATTTTGTTGACCAGCATTATTTTAATAATATTTTAAGAAAACTTCACTAGATGCCATGGACTAAATTAAATGATTTGTTTGTGTTGAAGTTTATTCCTCCAGGGCTCACCACGTTCCTTTGCATGTCGTTGGAATATATGATTAAGGTTAAGTGGATGCGAATGATTAAGAACAAGAAGATGCAATTAATCAAATATATAGAGGTCTCGCGTTCAAAACTCAATGGAGCCAGTTTCACTCTGATTACTCCAGGCCCCTCAGACCCCTCCCCCAGAGTCCCAGACGCCCCCTGGAGTAAAAAAAAATGAGAATTCCGGCTTTAGGCAAGATTACAGATAAATGCAAGAGAAGAGAGAGGTATATTGCTTTTGAGTACAAATTTGCTCACAATTTACAATGAACTAAATGTTGATATTTATACTATGGATTAGTCCTGGATTCGGGCCGGGTGGCCCGACCCGGAACCGGTATTGTGCTGAATCGGCCCGGTGGCCCGGCTCCTAGTTGTTTTTTTCAATTCTTTTTAACTTTTCGGGTTGGGCTGAGTATTTTGGGCCATTTGGGGTGGTTTGGAGGGTTGGGGGTTAATTAGGAAAAGGGGAAAAAATTGATCCGAGGCCCGACCCGAACCCGGTGGCTACCCGGGCCGGTCTCGGGCCCACCTATTCAGAACCGGCGGCCCGCTCCAGCCTAGGCCCGGCCCGAACCCAACCCGGCCTGAATCCAACCTTACTATGGATGCGTAGTTGGGGGGGGGGGGGGGGGGGGGTGACGTGGCCGACCCTGAGTTGATGATCCTCCAACCATAAAATCCCTCATATCTCTCGTAAGGTTTCCTGCCAAGTTGCTTGGGTCGATCCAACGTGGCCATCCTTCAACGAGAGGGAAAATGGTCCAACTACCTATGATACCCTAGTCGTTCGGTAGTGCCCATACAACACATGGTTAGTGTTGGAGATTTCGGATGTTTTTAAACCTTTTCAGGTTAGGCTTGTTCTAGGTGGTTGGGAGTTGGGGCTGGGCGGTTTGGGGGGGGTTCGAATTTATTCTAAGAGACAAAATGAAAATAATACTCCATCCGTCCCGTTGGAATGTTCCCGTTCACTATTCATTGGTCAACCTAGGTCACTCCTAATCTTTTACTTTATATATCATTTTTTTATCAAATTGAACTTTTCTTGATCAGGCTTTGTAGCGGTTTTATGTAGTTTCTGAATATGTAAATTTTATTTACTAAAAATAAGCGGAGTGTGAACAAGGATCGGGTTGCTTTATCGTCAGTCAAACATCGTAAACCGAACGGGAATATTCCAACGGGACAGAAGTAGTAATAATTTTGACCGACCCGTCTCGGCCGGGTCCCGGTTCTAACTCAGGCCGGTACCAGGCCTGAATATATATGACCCGGAGCCCCCCAGTCTGACCCAGAGCCAGGCCCGGCCGGGGCCCAGTCCACCCCTAGTCCGGATTAGAGAGAGGCCGCAGTGTGATCCCCAAACTGCCGGACTGATCAATTTGATTAAAAATCAATCCTAGCCCATTGCTGATTAATCCTAGCCCACAAGGGGGCAGGCAAACATCATACCAAACACCATTTGTTTTCAGATCGAGAGTAACTTGTACCTTCCAAATTCGGCTCCACCAAAACCACGACGCATTTATAAGTTGAGAACCAAAAACCATATTTGCAATTTTAACCATGAAATCAGGAATCAGAGAGCAGAAGCTAACCCAATCCATCCTTACATTAGATGAAGGATTCATAAAGTTTTATAAAATCAATAATAATAAAGAAAATAAAAAGGAATTAAAAAAATGTTTGTGGATGGAAAAAAGGGCGGAATTACTACAATCCCTGATTTGAATGAGATAAAATTTGAAGGTGAATCAGTGCAAGATTGAAATGCACCAATGCTGCTACTGGGCTGCTGGCAATGATATCAACCCCACTATATCAGCCATCTCTTAGGTAATCAGAGTTGGGACAAACTGCTGGAGTAATTAACAGCTAAAAGTCTAAAGTCTGTAACAACCGCTTTAAGAAAAGCAGATAATAGTTTCACCATTAACATTGGAGATAGTAAAAAAGCAGGCCATATTTGTAACATTGTTTGTTTTTACATCCAACACTTCAGTATTGAAATCCACTTGAAATGACAATACCCCGTATTGTTTGATAAAATAGACTAAAATTTGAGTGCAATGGCTAAAATTTCAGTGGAATTTCAAAAGAGCATGACCAGAAGCAATTGAAAACTTATTTCCAAAAGATCGAGTTTATGAACCACAATTTTCCTACCCAATTTGCTCAGCCAAGTGAATAAGCATTTTGCATTGTAATAGAAAAAACTAAACCTGCTTTTTACTCCATCTAGTATAACATGTCCAAGTATCTGACAAACACAAAAACTTAAAGACCAATTCTTAAATTCGTAAGATAATTTATTACTGGCATGATAATGATCTAATGGAACCAAATGAACAAACATCCAAGAATTAAACCATAAGCATGTAATCATGAAAATATTGAAGATTAAACTCCAAAATGTGGGCAAATTGTAGTAAACGCGTTCTACAAGTTCATACATCTTTCCAAAGAGGCCAAAAAAATGTAAAGCTTGTGACAACATATAATAATAAAAACTCAAAGCAATTGAAACGAATCTAAGCTGTAAGAACAACAGCCCCACCTGCCTCCTTGATCTTCTTCTCTGCGATCTTCGAAACAAGCTTGGCTTTCACCACAACCGGCTGGTTGCTCGGGAGCACGCCCTTACCCAGGAGCTTAAAGTATCCGAATTGCGTGACGTCAATCATCGGAACTTTGTCCTTGGAAGCTTTGGATCTGACTTCCTCAGGGACGAGTGACCAGAGCTTATCGATGTTGAGAGTAGGGCAGTAGAACTTGTTACGGAGCTTATGGAAATACCTCATACCGACCTTTCCGAAGTATCCGGGATGGTACTTGTCGAAGAGGATCCGATGGTGGTGCATTCCTCCGGCGTTACCGCGACCCGACGGATGCTTCCGGTGCTTCCCGATACGGCCATGGCCGGCGCTCACATGGCCTCTCTTCTTCCTGTTCTTCTTCAAGTGCGTCGTCATTGTTTAGAGCTAAAATGGTTTCTCGGCTGCGTAGAAGATATCTGTGAGATAATGGCGGAAGGGTAAGAGCTAGGGTTTGTAATATGGGCTGCGTAGAAGACTTGGCAGTTTTATATGGGCCTATATCGATTATCCTCTACTGGGTTATCGATAAACTTCAATCTGGGCTGACAGCATTCCCGTGAAGCCGTGAAGGTATACTGTTAGGTTATGGCAGATTGATAAAGATTTTTTTCATCGTAAGATGCTTATATCATTAAAATAGCATTCAGCAGGGGTACAAGATTGTAAAAGGATCCCACATATAACCATTCGTCCTTGACCGAGACTCTGAGTTAATCACCTTTAGGAAAGCAATATAACTCGCTAGACCTAACTTGAACAAATTAAAGTCAAAGACGATTGTCGTAAACCTCTCAACTCCCAAACCTAATGCAAGAGTTTAATAGCAGAAGAAAGAGTAAAAACAAAACATAATAGTCTGACCGTAAAGTAAAATGAAAATTAATAAAATAAACTGACAGAGCAACCGAATTCATGCTTCAAACATCATCCTCGGCGGTGGCTCAGGAGGAGGACGGATCATCAACCCTTCATCTTGAAACATTCCTTGCAAAATCACCACAATTTCCACCGGCATCTCCTTCATCCCTGAGGTTATAGCGCGAGTGAACCCGGAATCCATGCATACCTTCGCAATCGAAACTCGTGGCACAAGCAAAGAGTCCCTAACCCGAGCTAACATCACGATCCAAATCACCCATAAGACGGACGAAAACAGCACAAGAAAGTCACACTTCGTCAAAGACGAAAGCGGAGAAAACAACCCCTAAATCTAGGGGAGACGACAGTTGCTTTGTCTATGCTGCTGAAATTTCGATCGGCACTTCAAACTCAGGATGGCAAAAGTTATTCACAATAGGCATATCATTTAACTTAATTAGTTATTGTTTGTGATGTTTAATCTTTAACGTCAAAACAAATTAGACTACAAAATATTATAATCTATTATAGTCTACAAGGCCTTTTGTGAAGTTCGACTCAGGCCGATTTTAAGTATGGAGTATTTTATTGTCACCTTCTCATTCTAATCAAGCTTTGTTTACTGCCTCAACTTGTGGTTGATCGTCACTTAGGGTCTGTTTGCGACAGCTTCTACTTTAAAAAAAGTGCTTTTTTTAATGAAATGAGGAGAAGTGATTAAATAAAAGTTGATAGTGTTTAAGAAAAAAGTGATTTTGAAAAGTTAAAGTTGATAGTGTTTGGTAAAATAAGTGTTTTTTGTGTAATAGAAAAAGTAAAAGCACTTTTGACACGAAAGCCGAGAAAAATAAAAAAAGTTGTAGTGTTTGGTAAAAGAAGTGATTTTTTAAAGCCAAAAGCTGAGAAGTGTTTTTTTAAAGTGGTTGCAAACCAACCCTTAGAAGAGTGGCTACAGAATGGTGTACTCAATCCCTCACCAATTTTCCCTTTCAATTTATTAGGAATCTCACCAAATTGAGTTGTAATATTATAGAAAATCAAACCTTAACAAGGGAGGCCACTATTACGGTCAAGAGATTGCTGACAGAGAAAGCAATCATCCTAATTAGGAATTATGCCGGTGAAGGGGGTGAGAGATGCAGGTTAATTTAGGAACGGATGGCGATTAGAAAAATCCTACTCCTTAGAGCATCAGAGCATCTCCAATAGTTACTTCTAGGGACTTGCTTGTACCATAGTAATGTTGAAGCTAACTAGCCTAAAATTGGAACATTGTTCTTCCTTTTGAGAAAGCTAATTAGCCTAAATGAGCTACTAGCTTGAACAAAAGAATTATTAATTATAGTATTAAAAATAATAAATGAAGAGGAAATAGTTATAGCTAACCATTGGAGTATATTTCAATTTTGCTACAAATGCTTATGTGGCTAGTCAAGCTACGAGAGTAATTTTGCTACAACCTCTGGAGATGCTCTTATATTTGGTGATTGTAATAACAAGTTTACTGGTCATAATTACATAGGCCAAATTATCAAATTGTTAAAACAAAATTGTAATTGTTTACCAAATTGGTAAGAAACACCTCGGGAGATAAATTGGTAAGAAAATACAGTTCCGATCATTAATTGGTCAATTTTTGTGACATACAATTTTAGTCCTCGACTTAATAATTCTTGACATTTAGTTCTTTAAGTATTGTAAAAACTAATAACTTTATTAAATTATATTCCATAAAATCACTATGAATATTTTCACTATTTTATCATTATGAATATTTTTGCTACATTCTATGGAGTAACATTTTAAAGAAACTAACAAAATAATCATATTTAAAATATTAATAATAAAAATAAATGAATGTATATATGCGTGTTCGTGTAAATGTACATGTGTGAAAAATGATAGGGGTAGTAGTTATATAAAATAAAAATAGATACTCCCTCCGTACCGAATTGAGGTGCAAACTTTGACCGGCACGGGGATTAAGGAAGATTATAAATTTATTTTGAGCTTCCAATTTTGCCCTTGCCTCTAAAAATAGAGAAGAAACTCAAAAGGTGAAAAAGTACAATCAAAAGCACTTTAAACGTACGCACAAGCTGCATGGAGTATTCAGATTCGATTTTGAGAGAAAAAAAATTCACAGACCAAAGGAGTCTCGTTGACCAAGGAGATGAATACGGAGTATTTCATATTCGATTTCACAGAGATGGAGAAGTTGAAGAGAGGTGTTGGTGGGAGATAAAAGCCATGGATATGGAAGGGAGAAGCTAGATCGAAAATGGAATACCAAGTAAGAGGGGAGAGAAGAATGTGTAATTGAAGACGGGAAAGAAGAGGGTAGATTGAAATTGATTTACTCTTGCAAAAATGGGGTGGGTAAGAGTAGAAAATGCCAAAGGTAAAAGTAAGGGTAGGCCAGTCATTTTGTTCATACTTCCATACCTTAATAGAAAGTGGAAAATTATTTTGAGACGGACAAAAAAGGAAAATTTGCAAAACAAATTGGGACGGAGGGAATATAATTTTTAAAACTTTTTCCAAACCTTATTAAAAAATAAAAAAAATAAAGTTAAGTTAATTATATACTTTAAAATTCATATTCTTAATAGTCATTTTACATCGTAACAACTAATCGCAAATATTTAAGTTATTAAATATTTTACTTCAAACAGCTAATGAAGCGGTTGATCAAAACAATTAACAGAATTTGTTAGTATTAATTTGATGATTCAACCGGCTATCAACTAGCAGTGAATCATTGATTGTCAAACACACTCTTTGACATTTTTAGTCATCCAACTTTAATGATAAAATCATAGTAAAAGAATTGAAAATATCAATATCACAATATTTAGGGTGCTAAATGTCGGAAATTCTAAAGTTGGGGATTGAAAATGTCTTACTCACAAATATTTGACCAATTTGTCAAAAGAGCTTTGTTTTTTTACGAACTTGTCTTCGGAGTTTTATTTACCAATTCGGTAAACCAAACTTTTTTTTTATTTACAAATTTGATAATTTGGCCTAATTATATACTATCTCTGTCCCATTTTATGTGTCTCATTTGATTTTGCCAAAATTATTAATAAAGTCGTTAAAAAGTTAAAAGTTGTGGTTGTGATTTTTTAGTATAATAAAGTGACATGTTGTGGACCACATATTTATTTCAAAAAAAAAAAGAAATATAACACTTATTTCGTGACAACCCAAAAACGAAAGTAAAACAGGTAAAATGGGACGAGGGAGTATAGTTTTATAACTATAATAAGTTAATAACTGTCATTGTATACTCAACCACAAACATGAAGGGGGGCAAGTGAAGGCCCTTCCCAAATTTTTTTGTCCTAGGAATATTTACTTCAAAAATTTATTAAATATATTTGTATGTATTATTCTACACTACCGCCCTTCCTATCGGGAATTATTATGTCCATCACCGTGTATACTCATTACAACTTCTTTTTGGGATGAAAGCTAAATATATTAAAAAACGCCCAAAAATAACATCATACAACATCATTGATTTTAGTTAATCCATCTCCTTGGTCATTTATTCTGCATAACTGTTTCCAGATAGGAGAGTCAATATTCTTAGGCCTCATGTTCCCTTTTCTTTGATATGATTCATGAATTTTGCCCACAAAAGAGGTTCCCTTTTTGGAAGCCCAAAAGGTTTTGAAGTATACTCACTATAAGTTAGCTAGCATTTTCAAAAAATGTTGTGCTCATTTAGCTTTCAGTGTTTAAACTTGAAATGTGATACGGAGTACAAAGTATATCGTCCTAGGCCTCTACCGACTTGTAGTTTTTATTTTTTATTTTGTATTAATTGGTTACATTAGAAAGTCGAGAATAGATTAAGGGCAATTGGTGATTTAAGAGAGCTTGCTTCTTTGGAGAGCCCCGATTCTTTCACACTGTTTACACAAACATTTTGGTGCATCAACCAGAGTGTCCTGTAAATTTTGAAGCAACTATTTGGATATGGAGAAATAATCTGATCAAATAGAAAAAATTTATTTATTGAACTGAGGGGCTAAAAGCCACATGATCATGTCGTTAAGTCTACCAGTCATCCTTTCCCCCCTTACCTGCATATTATGTTGTGATTCATTGAAATGCAGCCAGAGGTAATCGAAAACTGTTAGGACCGTATATCCGTCTCTGGCTCAGGTCTTTCAACACATACCCTCACACACCACACTAGGAGGAGGCTATAGCACACCACTCTCTACTCTCCACAAAGGACCTCTCTACACTCTCACACAAAGGAAAGGAAGAAGAAGGGAGCACTGCTCTCTCTGGGTTACTTTCTGCGCAGGCTGCTCAACAAGGGAAGAAGGCACAAGCTTCATATAATAGGCTGGCTGAGGTCACGGGTGATACCAAGACAAGAAGTCACGGGTGAAGCAAAACAAGAGGCCTCACGGGTTATCAAGACAAGTAATGCAGCAGACAGGAAAGGATGGGCCAGCCAGGTAAGGAGTCAACAGGTATATTATTGATCAGGTAATATACCGAGGTAAAAGGTACCAAAGTGGGAGTAAAACAATAGGGTGCAAGCCTCAGGTAATAAAGTGGAAGGGAGGCCTTGG